GCATCATAGTTCCCTGACTGTGCCAGGACTTCCAGTTCTCCCCGCTTGTTTCCCAGGCTTCTTGCATTTGTGTATAGGCACTTAAGATAACTCATGGATCATCCCTCTTTCTCAGTATGAGACAGGAGTCCTCCCCTCTTGCGCTCTCCTACTAGTGCTTCCTCCCAGGATCCCATTTCCCCACTTACCTCAGGGCTTTGGTCTCCTTCCCCCGATGAACCTAGTTTAAAGCCCTCCTCACTAGGTTAGCCAGCCTGCTTGCGAAGATGCTCTTCCCTCTCTTTGTTAGGTGGAGCCCGTCTCTGCCTAGCACTCCTCCTTCTTGGACACCATCCCATGGTCGAAGAATCCAAAGCCTTCTCTCCGACACCACCTGCGTAGCCATTCATTGACTTCCACGATTCGACGGTCTCTACCCAGGCCTTTTCCTTGCACAGGGAGGATGGACGAGAGCACCACTTGCGCCTCAAACTCCTTTATCATAGAATCATAGAATATCAGGGTTGGAAGGGACCTCAGGAGATCATCTAGTCCAACCCCCTGCTCAAAGCAGGACCAATCCCCTTCTTCCCAGAGCCACGTAGTCTGCAGTGATCCGCTCAAGGTCATTCTTGGCAGTATCATTGGTGCCCACGTGGAGAAGCAGGAAGGGGTAGCGATCTGAGGGCTTGATGAGTCTCGGCAGTCTCTCCGTCACATCATGTATTCTAGCTCCTGGCAAGTAGCAGAGCTCTCGGTTTTCCCTGTCGGGACGGCAGATAGATGACTCAGTCCCCCTGAGGAGGGAGTCCCTGACCACCACCACCCTCCTCCTCCTCCTCTTGGGAGTGGTTGTTGTGGAACCCCCATCCCTAGGACAGTGCATCTTTTGCCTTCCAATCGGTGGAGTCTCCTTCTGCTCCCTTCCCTCAGATGTGTCCTCTAGCTGGAGAGAACATGGAAACGATTGCTCACCTTTATCTCCATTGCTGGTACATGGACACTCCTCTTTCTCCTCCTGGAGGCCACATGCTGCCAAACTTCTTCACCATCCTTCTGTCCCTGCTGCGCCGCCTGCTCTGAATCTTCAGAACGTTGTGGCCATAGAAGCATCTCCTGACGTCTGTCCAAGTTGGTTCTTGTCTCCGTTCCACCAGTTCTCCTGGCACCATAGAGGCTTCCCGCCTAGACAGGATCTGAATTTTTATTGTAAAAAAGATTTGGGGGGGGGGGAAGGCGGAAGAATAAAACCTCTCCAGCCATTTTTGTCCCAAAGAATTAAACAAGGACAAAAGCCCAATTTTCCTCCCTTCACAGGTCACCATGGGAACTGGCTGCTAGAGTCCTGAAGAAACAATACAGCTAAACAGCGAGAGAAGCAGGAACTAACACACTTTGCTCTCCCCAGCATATGGCTCTTAACAGTCCAGGCATTTCCAGTGCTGGAGAGGTCATTAGCTGAATGACTAGATCAGGAGTAGGCAACCTATGGCACGTGTGCCGAAGGCGGCACGCAAGCTGATTTTCAGTGGCACTCTCACTGCCCGGGTCCTGGCCACCAGTCCAGGGGGCTCTGCATTTTAATTTAATTTTAAATGAAGCTTCTAAAACATTTTAAAAACCTAATTTACTTTACATACAACCATAGTTTAGTTATATATTATAGACTTATAGAAAGAGACCTTCTAAAAACGTTAAAATGTATTACTGGCACGCAAAACCTTAAATTAGAGTGAATAAATGAAGACTCGGCACACCACTTCTGAAAGGTTGTCGACCCCGGACTAGACTCTAGGCCTAACAGAGACCATTAAAAGACAAAAATCGCTGTGAAAGAAGCACATGCTGCCTCATTAACGCCACTTTACTTTAACCACAGGTTTGTTGGCTTGTCCAACATCAGGAATCTGCCTCTAGTGCAGCCACACGACTGGGGCTTGCACAGACAGGTAGAGCTGGCACTGTGCCTCAAAGGCCACAGAATGGGGCTCATGCTAATCTTCATTAGCAAAGGCCTTGCACCCCTACCCCCACTAAGGGGCAGGAAAACCCTGCTGCCTTGTGGGAATGACCCTGCATGCAGTGCAGGGGCTACACAGGCTGGGGTTCTGATAGGTTGGTCAATTTCAGCAGAGAGGACAACTTCCAGGTGATCAACTCAACCCCCGGGCGGCTGGAAAACACCACAGTGGGGGAAATACCAGGTCCAGTAGGCCACACACCCAGACCAGACACAACTGACTCAAGTGACTTTTATTCATTTAAAAAATAAATATGAAGTAATACTGAACATTTCCTACAGCAAACAGAGCCCCTCTCTTCTCCATGAGGCATAACTCCACACATCTACGCCCCTGCAGCCTTCATCCCCACTGGAGGTTGGGTAAGATTGGCCATCCTCCAGGGGGTGGAGCCTGAAGGGATGGGGGAAGGTCCTGTATTGGAGGCCAGCCAGGGGGGTACTGAAAAACCAACGTCTTCTCCGTCAGGGAACTGGGTGAGAGAAAGAAATATCAGCATCAGGTCAGATCCAGCCAGGCTGAGTCATGGTGGTGCTCCCTCTGCCCCCCTCCTCTCCACCCCATTATCAACCTAGTTTTTCAACAGCCACCAGACCTGCCCCCCACAAGAATGAACCTCCAGAAGTATTAGGGGTCATAGGGCTGTCTAGGGAGTTGGTAGAAATCTGAGACTTGGGAGACTTGAGCCAGACAGCAGCAGCTGGTGGAACAAAATAAGCAGAGGAGCCGCAAGTAGCAAAATTTGTGCAGGTAGCACAAATCCCTCCAACCTTCCCTGACCGGCCTTTCCAAGGGAAACCCTGGGACTCTGGTCAGGAGGCAGCGCAGGGAGAAGAGATGGCAGAGGGAAGGGTTCTGCTGGGGAAGGGAGCCGGTGGGGAAATGGGAAGACAACAGAGGAATGCAAAGCTGGGACATTTTACAGTCAAGAGCACGGGATGAAAAAGCAGCATTTATCCCTCTATACACTGCTTTACTGCTCTCCTAGTTCCAACCTCTACCCCATCTTCACAGCAATAATCCCGGGAAAGGATCTCTGTGCAAGCAGAGAGGAGCTGCTGAAATGTCTGGGTGCTTTGTGACGGGCCCCACTGCTGGGTGGGAGATGCTTTCCTGATCTAGCCACTGGGAAAGCCACACCTCCTCTCCCTGTTGTGTATCAGTTAAGGTTGCTGCAGACAAGCAAGGATGGGAAAAGTTAAGCCACCTAATCTGACCTAACCTTCCACCCACAGCTATACACCTCATTGCTAGAGCAGTTGCCACATGCCCCAGCCTTGACTCTTTCCCCTAGGCATGCCAGCCTCCAGCACTCCAGGGAGCTGGCTTCCCAAAGCTCTGCAGAGAAGTAGGGGGAGGGTGTCAGGTTGGTCTTTGTTGTGGTGGGGGTTTGGGGCCAGCACATCCCAGAGAGAGAGAGTCACCACCACAGCAGGTGCATTTGCCCTGCGCTTGCTGCCTGAACAGGTGAAAATTTGCAGTTAACACTAGCAGGCAGCCCCTCCGCCCAAAGCACAGCACTCCCATGCCAGAGGTGAACTCCTCTCTTGCTCTGGAGAGGATAATTAATCATTCTGCACATCAAGGGCCAAAGCCAGCCGAGGTGTCACTCCATTATCTCTGGAACAGGGATGCGCTTGGCCCTTTAAGTCTTCCATTGGCAGGCAACCTGCCCCCTTTCCAGCAACTCCTCAGTGCAGAAAAAGAACTCATTTGTTCTCCAGCATGAGTCCTGACAGCCGCTTTCACGGATTCTCGGGGGCTTCTACCTCTGATCCTCACGCATCTCTTTTTAATTGTTATGCCAGGATGAATGTAATCAAGCTCCTTTACATAATAGTGCTTATCCAGAGAATCGCGGAGTCCAGACCATGTGCTGGAATTGACTATTAACGTTTAGTGCATTACCTTCCATGCGGTCTAAGTGAAACGATCATTCAGGGATGGTCTAGATAATACTTAGTCTTGCCATGAGTGCATGGGACTGGACTAGAAGACCACTTGAGGTCCCTTCCAGTTCTATGATTCGGGCTAATGTTTATATCCCCTTGGGGGAGCTTCTTCTGGAGTTTGGATGACACTGCAGATGCTTTCGGCGTCTGGTGGTAACATTGCTTTTGCTACATTTAGGCTTTATCTATACACAAAAGCTGTTCTGCTTTAACTAGACCAGTATGGCTAATGCCGTATGACCCCCCCTAGTGTGGACGCAGTTATACCAGTGTAAGAGTGCATACAGGGGTACAGCTATACCCATACAAGAAGGGGAATAAACTATAGTGGTATATGACCCCTTTATCACAGTGTAACCGCATCTACTCTAGAGCTTGTACTGATCTAACTATACTGGTAAAAAAAAATCACTGCCCTAACCAAAATGGTTCTCCTGCTCCAAGAACTGTGTGGGAGGTCGGCAGGCGTTCTGGAAAGGTAGCTCAGTGGTTAGGGTGCCAGCCTGGAACTTGGGGAACATGGGTTCAATTCTCTGTATGAACTTGGGCAAGTCACTCAGCCTCGCTGTGCCTCAGTTTCCCCATCTGTACAGTGGTGATATTACAAGGGTGTTGGGAAGATAACTACTGCTGATGGGGGCCCTATACGTACCTTAGATACAATTATTCATGGATTTCCTTACACCCCAGCCTACCTATCCAAAGAATGGCAGAGAACTGCATGGCTCAGGCAATAAGGATCAGATGGGAGCCTCTTGTATAAACGGCATTTCAAAGCCAGCCAGAAGGGAATGGGTGGCTGTTTGGGGGGGATTATGTGAGACAAGCTGGTGGGTCTCCAGTCACTTCCCGCAGGATCGGAGTCCCATAGTGTTACCTCAGCCAAGAGGACACAGAGCGAATGGAGACAGAAGCTCAACTCCCCTTTGCCACCCCCAGGCCATGGTCTGAGGCACATCAGCAGGGGATGCTGGAGCTGCTCAGACCATTCAGGACCATGCTGCCCCCAAGAGCTTTTCCATCATCCCCCAACCTGCCCTCCCTGGTAGCTGAGATGGAAATGGCCCGTAGGATCCCCTAGTCCCATCTCTTTGCCAATGCAGACTGCTCCCCACAGCACTTTCTCTACAGTTTAGTCTCATTTGAAAGAGCCAGATGGCCTTTATGAACACCAGCAGCCACACAAAGCACTAGCTAAATGAAGCAGGCGCTGGAGGGCATGTGCGTTTCAAGTCCACGTACCCATCACTGCACTGTCTGACCCTTTCAGAGAATGGGTCACCTCTCTAAGTTTCATAGAGTTTAAGGCCAGAAGGGACCACCGGATCAAGTCTGACTTCCTGCGTGGCCCAGGCCATTACATCTCACCCAGATGCCCCTAATTGAACTTAATGACTTGAGTTAAACCAAAGCACTTCAGTCCACAGGCAGAGAACACAAGAGACCGAGGTGCCACCAATGCCTGAGGCCCCAGCAACGGCAGGGAATTGATGAAGTGAGATGTGCCCAGATGATTCCAGCTAGTGCTCCATGCTGCAGAGGAAGGAGAAAGACCCTTCCCAGGATAAGACAGGGAAATGGGTTACTTGCCCCCTGCTGCCAACGTTCTCAGCACTGTCTACCGCCACCCACACATTAGCTGGGTGTCTCAACGCCCTGTGAAGCATCTCACAGTGGAAAGTGAAGGCTCCTTCCCAGACAAAACAGAACACATGGTTGCTCAGGACAGCAAAATAGCAAGGGCTGCTGGGTGTCCTGTGGCTGTTTGTGTGGGTGAGTGTAGCTGGTAGGGATAGACATTTGCCAGGTCAGTCTAAAGGTGAAGTTCTTACATGAATGATATTCAGCTCCTGGCTGGCAGATGCACCAGCAGCATCTACTGGAGCAAAGAGGAGCTTAGCAAATAAAACACCCAGCATCCAATGCCTCCTGCCTGCTTCTAATGACCAGGGAGACAGGTGCTGGTTCGTGGCCATTCCACTTGGTACTGCACGAGTCCCTGAACAGGACAAACAAGGGGCGACCGCACTGCATGGGTGCCAAAGTTATTCATTGCAAGCAGGCTCTGCTGCAGGGCTAAGAGCAGCCAAGCAGACAGATGGGATAAAAGGAAAGCAGCACATCTAGAAACACTCCAGAAGGAAGATCGTGTCCAGACCAATGCGGAAGGGACAAGAGTAAACAGAAAAGAACAAAAGAGAGATCTGGCACCTGACCAAGCAACAGCCAATTAAGCCTGCGGCACAGTCAGGTGAGCGAGACAACAGGCAATGCCAGGCTGTCAGAATGCCACTGGGAGGGGCTGGTTCCATTCCACTGCTAGCAAACCAGAAGGCAGGGGCTGTGCAGGGAGGACAAGCAGAGGGCAGAGAAGCTGTCACCAAGCCGGGCTCAGCGGTCTGTCCGTGGAACTCGGGTTGTTAATGACACACTACACTTCAGTGGCATTTTCCACCCAGAGATCTCCAAGCACTGTGCAAATGGAAGGGAAATATCACTAGCTCACATTAGATAGGGAAACTGAGGCAGAGAGAGAGCAAGGCTAAGATTTCAAAGCCATGGGTATGTAAGGGGACTGTTGGCCCTTACTAAAACTCAGTGGGGGTGTTTTGGTTAGCTAGCTCCTGGTACCAAAAGAAAGGGGAAGGGTCGATGGGAAATAAGTATCCTGAGACTGACAGTCCCCAGGACCAATGGGGAAAGGCCAATGCTCCAGGTCAGTCTGACTGACAGGGTGGGCAGGCTAATGAGGGTATCAGAAGGCCGGGGTCCCGTCCTCTGTGTGAGCTGGAACTGCCTGGAACAGAGTGGGGCCCAGCTAAGAAGAGAGCAGGGGCACAAGCTGAGCTGGGGCGCAGGGTCAAACCGGTCAAAGCCAGAGAGAACCAGAGAAACAGCCCAAGGAGAAGGTCAGTGCTGGGAGCGGAGCCGTAGCAACAAGAGCCATAGAAAAAGTCCAGAGAGCAGCTCCATGCTGGGGGGAGAGTTGCAGGAGCCAGAGGGGCCAGAGAAGCAGCCCAGGGGGCTGGAGGCAGAGCAGCAGCGGTGCTGGGGCTGGAGCCAGGGCAGTGAGCAGCTGGAGAGAGTGAGGGGGACCCTGGGCAGAGGGCCCCAGTGCAGGGAGATGCCCCTAGCCAAGAGGCCTTGCAGGCCAGACCTGGAGGGGGATCATAACTCCGATGGGGGGGTCGATGCTGGGAAGAGGGTCCTGCCACCTAGAGCCTGAGGGCGTGTGGCCACCGCCAGAGCAAGTGTCCGACATGCAGTATCCCTGCAGTACAGCCAGGGCCTGGGAGGGAGGCCTGGCACATGTGAGTGACAGACTGTGAACTTTACAACCAGCATCTCTGGAATGTAAGGGATGTTCCTGTGCCACCAGAGCGGGGTTATGTGTTTTCCTTTAGCCTTTCACATTTTTAACTTATTTTTTAAATTGGTTGCTGTTTCATAAATTGTATTTGCTTGAACTGTATATAATGATCAGTGAGTCAGGGAGGTGTCCAGAGCGCAGAGAGCACCCTGGAGTGGGGACACCCTAGCCAGTGCCCTAAGTGACCACAAGATTGGGAGTCGAGCTCCCCAGGAATTGTCGGGGTTACAAGGACTCTGCCAGACAGGAGAGTGGTAGGGGAGCCCTCGAGGTCAGGCAGGCCTCTGGGTAAAGGGAGTGGGAGCGAGGACTCGGATCCTTTCGCTAGCCCATTTCACCGGGGTAGTGTATAAGCCAGGAAAGTTCCCCACAATAGCGGGACCCATCCCCAGTTTACAAGTGCATGCAACCCTGATCTGTGCGTGCAAGTCCAGATTTGCACAAGCAGGTAGGTATGACGTACACACCCGGCGCATGTGCATAGCTTTGAAACCCAGGCTTAAGTGACTTGCCCAAAGGGTCACAGCAACTCACCAGCGGGGTCTCCTGATTCCCAGCTCCCAGAATCAATCCACTAGCTTAGATTCTGCTCTGACTAACCTCCAACATCTTTAAGATTCAAGGAGGCTGGGGTGAAGAACGGGACCATCTTCTGACTGGGGCAAGGGGAGCTGCCAGCCTCACATACCTGTTGCTCTGAGCCAAGCTCACCCTCTTTGCTCTCTTCTCCAGCCAGTCCTCTACTGTGCCAGCTGGGACCTCTGCTCCTTCCTCCTTTGATCTCCTTTCCTCTGTTTGGGAGAGAGAAGGTAAAGAGGGAGCCGTCAGAGCGCCAGCCCTGCAATCCTGCTCATCCTGCAACACTTTCCCTGCAGTGAATCAATAGCTTCTCCAATACAATCCGGTCCCTCCTCCCCTGCTGGCCACCTGCATCTGGATGCTTGGCTTCGCCATGGCCAGGGGCATACCCAGGAGCATCCATTGCCAGACACATGCCCAGCAATGGAGACTGACATGCCCAGCTATTCAGAGAGACTAACAGCCTCCGCATCTGGGAGGGTGTCAGCTTCCTCTCCTGCAGCACTTAGCCTCTGCTGGCCCGCAGCCCTGAAAGATTTCCAAGGACCTGTCCGTCTGATTGGCAGGGAAGTAACCAGACACCTCAGCCCCGGCTAGCTGGCTGAAAAAAGGAGCATTTGTATCAATTGATGCAGTTAGCAAGTTGCAGGAGTGTGAAAGATTCAGAATGTGTGTGTGTCTCAGACAGACACACACACAGGGTTTCTGCTGGAAGATAATGGGGACACTGCCAGCGTTTGTTCTTGGGGCATTTGCTGCTCAACACATCACAATCCCAAACACTTATGAGGGGCAGGCCAGAGCCAGAGGGATTGCTGGATCAATGGGCAGTGTAGTCCAGCAGCCGGTCTCTGACCAAGGCCAATAGCAGATATTTCAGAGCATAGCACAATGAGGGGCGAGGGGGAGGGTACGGCTAACCTTCCTTAACCTCTGCTCAGCCAGCCAAGAAGAGGAGGGGGTGAAAGTGACTGTCACCTTTGCACTTTCTTGATCCCTTGGGCTGCCAAGAGCCTGTTCAGCCCCAGCATAAGAGAGCAGCCTCAAGATTGCTCTAGCTTACCCCGTCTGGTAATAGCTCCCTAGGCACTGTTCTGCCAGCTGGAGGTAGCCAGAGTGCAATGGCATCCAGTTACACCCTTTCCTGTGGCACGCGCCCTATGTCCAGAGAGAGTGTTGTACGGAGCCAGCTAGCATGGCTCTGAGAACACCCCACGCTGGGGGAATTCCCAGCTGCCCCGTTAGGGCAGCTTTGTGTCCCCAGAACAGCATGAAGGGGCCTTGGCATGGGCCAGGGTCTAGACCTCTGTGCTGACATTAACAACACAATCACACCCTGACAGCAGGCAAGGCAGAGACAACCTGCTAGATGCTCACAGCTCCGGGAGTCTGCAGCCTAGGTTAAAGTTTCCAGCTGATGGAACTGGGAGTGCAGCTTTAAAACACTCTGAAATTAACAAAAGGAAACCAAACATCAAGTCCTGTCTCGCCTTTCTGGCAGTGGCCAGTAGTGTCTCGTGTGGTACAGAAGCACCAAGACTAGGTTACAATGGATATAAAGGACACACAGAAAGACCCTTGGAGCGCTCTAGCTCCCTGACAAACACAGCATTTGCCGCCCCTTGGCCCCTTCCACAAGGTGCCTGCTCAGCATCAAGACATCATATGTCAGGCTTTTAAGCAAAATATTATACATTTCCAGACAGGGTGTGAAATTAATATCACTCCAGCAGAGTGAAGGATCGCTCCATCCTAATGGTGGCAACACATTATTCATCTGCCTGGTGAATTTTAATGAGGACAATGTGCTACACAATGAGCAACTGGAGATGGATAATTTCCCATACCCGGAATTCGCAGCCTTTGCTAAGGGGGATTGGTTTGATCCCACCAGCTGCATGTCACTCTAAATACAGTGATGAGGATCTTTGCTGGAGAGCTCTGTTCTTCTGCTGTTCTCCCTGGAGAGTGGGGAGGGATCCCCCATTTAGAATGGCCACCCAGCATAGTCCCAAACCAAAGTCTTGATCAGAAGGGGTGCACAGGGTGGGTAGGAATGATAGTCCAGTGGACAGGGCACTGGACTGGGGCTCAGGAGTCCTGCGTTCATTTCCTGGCTCAGCCAAGGACACACCAAACATCTCTGGGCAAGTCCTTTAGTTTCAGTTTCCCCACTGGCATTCCTACTGGGATGAATCTACCAGTGATTGTGAAGTGCTTGGACACATGGTGATGAGGGACACAGAAGTACTTAGACAGGTTTCTCTCCTGCATCCGCCTTGTGCTGGGATTGCCTTTCTACCCTACTTCTTCTATTCAACAATGCTTTTCAATGCCTCTGTTAAAGCTGCTTTACTATTCAGCCAGCAGGGGGCACTCATGAAATAAACTGCCCCAAAGCATCTCCATGACTTCAGCTCTGCTGAGACTGAATGGGAGCAGGTGGGACTCCGCAGACCCTCGGAGCCAGAGTCTGCTCTCCGTTACCCCACAATAAATCCAGAGTAATTTACTGGCTACTCCAGATCTACACTGGTTTAAGTGAGATGTGACTCTGGCCTCTGGTGTCCACATTAAAACATCCAGTTAGCTACTTGTTCAACAACATGAGTTTCTGCGCCAAGGTGTTCTGATCCTCAGACACCCACATACAGGCAGCAGGGATCAGATACATTTAGCTCTATCCTGCTCTCTGCACACCCGCTTTCCTCTGCAACATTCCCCTCCCCAATCCCATGTTGCCTGGGATGATCCTAGGTGCCAGTGCATTTGGGACGCTCCCAAGAATTGGGATGGATTTGCCAGAATCTACAGTTTAAGCTTGAGAGGCAAGGTTCTGAGCCCATCTGCCTCACTAATAAAAATACATGTACAATACCGAGTACACAGCGAAGCAGACAGTGGGAATGGCAGCAAGACTGGGGGGTTCGGTTCAAAGCCTGACGACAACCAATTAAAGAGTGGCTGTAGTGAGTAAAGTGCCTCTCTAACGACACTGTGAGGGGATTCCAGATCAAGCTTCTCTCTCCGTGTGGCTTCCAGAACAGGTTTGTTCAATTGGGGGAAGGGGAGGAATATATCTATCTATCAGCTGTTGACTCGCACAGTGACAGTGTGCAAAGCTCATCTGGGATCGGAGAGTCAAGCTGGGTTCACTTGGCATCTGACATCAGCATCTGTTACAAAGAGAGATGAGCCAGAACCAAACTTTCAGAGCAGAGCAGCCCAATGCATCCTGAGCAAGTTCAGATCCAGATCTGAACTTTGGGCCACTCTCTGGTTAGGAAGCTTCTGCAACCAGAACTTCTCTGGCTCCTCTGCAGCAGTGCATGAATGTGAAGGGACTCCGGCTCTCTCCCACATCTGTATGGGCTTGCCAGGGCCGACAAGAGAGATTGGGGTGCATCAGTACTATGAGCATGAGGGACTCAACGCAGCAAGGAGCCAGTAACTGTGTGTAAGAAGATGCCAATTCTACTGTCACTTTTCCTGACCATAACTGCACTTAAGACGACAACCCTCACATGTCTCGCTGCTGAATGATACAGCAGATCCAGCCAGCGAATGCTCTGAGGCAGATAGTTGGGACACTGCTCCCCATCTTACTACAGGGGGAAACTGTTGCTCCAGGACACGCACATTGGAGTGGCAGCACAGGCAGCTAAAACCAGTCTTGATGCCTAAGCCACTGTAAAGCAATGAATGGTAGAGAAAAGCTCCTATTTTACCCTCAAATGTGACACAAAAACAGGGGGACACCCACCTCAATTAAAAGGCAACAATTAAAAAAATATTTCCTTTGATTAACCAGTGGAACTCACTGCCACAAGGTTATCGAAGCATTTAACTGGATTCAAGAAAGGATTTGATACTCATATGGCTAATAAGAACAGACAGACATATTAGACAAGCTCTCGTGCTTCAGGATATAAGCCAACCATTAACAGGGCTAGGAGGAAACTTCCCGTAGGGGCAGGCTGTTCCATAACTTTTCCTTATGGGGTTTCTTGCACCTTCTTCTGAAGTATCTGACCACTGTTGGAGATGGGAGGCCGAGCTAGATGGGCCTCGGCTCTGATCTAGTCTGGCAATTCCTATGTCCCATACGCAACACACAAAAGGGAATTAGAGCTGGGCTGCTCGAAGAACCCTGCCAAAGGTTGATTTTTGTCCCTCCCTTGACTCCATCTGAGGCACAGAGCAGCCACCTGCAGCAAGTTAATAACTTCTGCAAGTGATGGGTTCTGGGACTGCTGCAAAGGAGAGACCCACCCCACCTGGCAACTGTTTGCTGCTCCCACCCTTTGTGACTGTGACTCAGCCCTAACAATCCCCTGCATCCTGTAGCCAGACCATCTTATCACAATCCCACAAGCTAAGCATGGGCAGGTCAGCAGTCGGATGGGAGACCTCCAAGGAGCAGGGAGTGGGGCTGGTAATCCAGTAAGTGGCACTATCCCCTGTGAGTCAAGATCGCTGGTCCATCAAGTCCTGTGTCACATCCCCAGCAGTGGCCTGTGGTGCATCTTGTGGGACAAAAAATGGATGTAAAGGGAATTCTTTACTGGGACAGATACACAGATCCTATGGAGCTCTCTAGCTCCCTGACAAACACAGCCTTGTGCTACCTAGTGCCACCACGCAGGGCCTTCCTAAATCCTGGCCTGGCCTAAGCATGCTGTACCTCTTGCCTGGCCTCCGAACTCCTGCGAGGTGCTGCTGACTACTCCACATGATGGATACACTTGGTTAATTGCAGTCTGTTCCTGCCTGACCCCTAGCATTAACACCACTTTACCCTGTCTCTCTGAAACTCTCCTGGCATCTGGCTCCATTTTACAAGCCCAGCTACAGTATCTGACCCCGATGTCCCACGCCTGTGAATCCTGCCGGCTGACTGCATGCTGTGCAGCGCTACCTTGTGCCAGCTGTGCTCTCCGACCATTCATGTGATCCAGATTTTCCATGTTACTAGATCCCACCTCCCTTCCACTGTGCTCTTCATTCACAGCCTTAAAAATTCCAGAAATTCCAGAAATTCCCAGTCAGCCCTTGTCAGGCTAAACCACCCTGGGTCTCTCATCACAGCACAAACCAGCTCCCATGGCCAGCCTTTACTCACAAGAGGATTTCCATTGACATGGCTGAGACTGCTCCCAGGAGCAAGGTGAGCATCGCCCTGAAGCCAGTCATTTATACCGCACTCCTCCCAGTGGTGCCAAGTCTAGATAAGAGCCCTGCCTGTCTCTAGCCATCCAGGCTGCTCACTCCTTACAGGGGAATTGCTCTAATTCAAGAGTTAAGTTTGTAAAGCCAAGGGCAAGGGTTCCAAGGAGTCCCCCTGGCCAGTCAATTCAATTCCCCACTTTCATCCAATCAATAATCAATAACAAATGTACGTGGCACACAGCCCTGTCAGATCCTGCCCTCTCCCTGTGGCTCCACTCAGGACAGCTGTTGCCATGGGCGGCGCGTGAACCGCCAGTTGGGGGAGGCTAGCCCCCAGCCCCACCCTTTCCACCTGAGTCCCCACTCCTTCCGCACCTCACTGGAGCCCAGAGCCCCCCCACCTTCACCCTACAGCCACCGGCCCCTGCCCCAGGCTAGCCCCCCTAGCCCTGGAGCGCTGGGAGGGCCGCCGCACAGGGGGACTGGAGCTGCCGCTGTGACACGCAGAGCAGGAATTGGGGGAAGGGCCTGGGGGCAGAGCATGGGTGGGGCCAAGTCTGGCTGTTTGGGGAGGCACAGCCTCCCCCAGCCCATGGTACCCACCACCCATGGCGGTTGCTTCCCCTGCTATAAATAACCTTAAATGGCTAGAATTTTACAGGTTCTTTCAGTTTAACTGACTTCCCGACCAGCCCCTTGTAGGGCCTTGCAGCAAAGAAGGGTCACCAAGAGGTTCCGCCCAGGGATGCAGGAGCAGAGAGAAAAGGAGGCGAGATGGCAAGATGGGCATTGCTTTTCTGTGTGTACGATGTGAGAGGCAACCGTCGCTGGCTCTCTCCATCCCCCACGTGGCTCCAGTGGAGGGATTTTTACTGACTGCCAGCGCCGGTCAGGAAGCGATTCACAGAGAAGCCTCGGGGATGTGCAGCCTGACTCAGCAACAGCCAGGCCTCTCCCTCCCAGTCTTTCAAATCTAGAGCAAAGGCCAGGGGTCCGAAGAGTCCCCCCCAGTTAGCAGCCCCCCCCTCCCTTGCCAGCTTAAGGCTGTTCCCTGCTGGACTGTTATCAATGCGATAGTCGACCTCTCCGACTCCTGGAAGCCTGGGCAAGTGACTGGCTTGGAGGCGGTCAACAATGCTTGACCCTCGGTTTCTTAGCCTGGGGAGGTCATGATCCCCAGGAGGCGTTGCAGCTGCCTTCCCTTTCTTCAGGGCTAGATGGAAGGGGGATCATCTGGAATCACAGTATGGAAAAGCCATGGCCTCCCCCAAGACTGGCCAAGGGGAGAAGACCCCCAGCATCTTCTTTCTAATCCTTTACCCCATCCCAAGCTCCACTCCCCCAGAAGCAGAAACCCTGAATCCAGGTCCCTGTGCATGCCCCATAGAGGACCCAGCTAACTCTAGATCAACCTTTCCTGGGGTTTGGAGAAGCAGTTTCCCTTTAATTGTGGGGAGGGGCTGGGGGGAACCACAAAAGTCTGAGAGTTTGGGAGGATGTGATGCACTGGTGCCCCCTGCTGGTGACAACTCATATAGCTGGCTAGCAAAGCCTTCTCCCAGCCATGCTGCAGAGAACCCACATAGCCCAGAAAGCCACCTTCCCACGCCCATTACTGGGCCGTAACTCTGAGCAGTAACATGCACAGGTCTCTCCCTGTGCCAGGAAATCAGGGAAAGAATCCATATAGGAAGTGGCCCCATCTCCAGTAGTGTTACAGGCTCAGATGGTGAGGAGTGGCTGGGGGGCCGGCAGGATGGATCTGCACTGATCATTCCATGCAGCTGCCCAGTCCCACAGACTGTCATTGCACAATTGCTCCTCTGTGCCCCCTTGTGCCCCACCAACACTCTGCAGTCAGGGTTCACAGTCCTCACAAATCACTTGGCAGTTTCTTGTTCCATCCTCCCTTCTCCCAATATTCACCTTGTACCTGTGCGTTCAGCTTCTCCAGACCCTCCTCTGTCATGTGAGAGAATCTGCAGTTGAACCCAAAGTCGCATTGCCCTGGAACAAGAAACAAATGCAGGCAGATTAGAGCAGGGCTCACTCCAAACAGCAGACGAACAGGCTTGGTCTCCCCCATGCATCTGCACAAACAGCCTCCATCCTTCCCTTTTTTACTCCTGGGGGAATGCTGCACCACTGCGCATGCGCAGAATTCACATCCCCCGCAGATTTATTTGCTTCCCTGCAGAAAATTGACCTTCTGACAGGGAAGCCACAAGAGCAGTCATGTGACCCTACCCAGCAGGTGCCCAGGGCAGCCAGCGGAGAGGTAAATCACTGTGGGGCGGGAGGCGGGCCTGGGGAAGACCCAGCTGATGGCTCCTACCCTGTGCCGGGCTCAGTTGCTAGTCTGGTTGGCATGGGGAGGATGGGACTTCCTCTTCCCCTACACAGCACCCAGATCAGAGTCAGACCCATCCCCAGATTTCTCTCCAGGATGCAGGAAGGTCTGCAAACTCCCCCGCACCTTGGACCCATCGCTCCTCAGCTGCAGGGGGAGGGATCACTGTACAGGAGCTGCTCCCCCAGCTGCCAAACCCTCATGCATCCGCTGAGCCTCATCCCCCTACCCAGCACCCCCCTGACAAGCCCGACTCCCTCTGCACCTGGACCATCCCGACAAGCCACCCGGATCTCCACCCCACTTAGCCCCAACCAGCCGCACCTGGATCCCCAACCTCACTGAGCCCCACACCACTAGCATCTAGACCGCCCCACACCCAGATCCCCCTGCCGAGCTCTATCCCCTCCCACACCCAGACACACACACACCCCGCTGAGCTCCAACCATCTTCACCTAGACCATTACTGCTGCACCCAGAACCCCCCAACAAACCCCTGTGCACCCAGATCCCCTCCGCACCTGGATCTCTCACTGAGCTGCCCACACTCAGATTGCCCCACACAGAACCCTCTCAATCCACACCTGGATCCTCCCACACTAACCATCCACACTTGGATGCTGCCTTGCTGAGCCCGCCTGCCCACACCTGGTGCACCTGGCACTGAGGGGCAGGGCCCTGGGGTGTTTCTGAGGCAGGCACGGTCCTTGCACTGTGTCAGGGTCGGGTACAGCCTCACCGCTGAGTCTGTGTCCCAGGGGAGAGCTGCACAGTGATCTCCCACCTCTGTGCAGCCAGTGGCCTGTGTACCCCAGTGCCATGCTGGAGCCTCCACACTTATTTGACAAATAAGATTTGCAGAATTTTCAGACTTTTAAAATACTGTGCACAGAATTTTTATTTTTTCTGCGCAGAATGTCCTCAGGAGTAAAACTTTTTACATGCGTGTGCACATGGGGGTCCACACAAGCACACCCAGCAGCTCCCTGCCATACTCTGTTAGGCACAACTTCCAGGCCAACCCAGAGCGGCACTGACCTGGCTAACAGAGATTTTTTTGAGCTAGTGCACCCAAGTTATCACTATATGGAAAGACACCATGCAAAAACCTAACCTGTTTGCAGAAATTTCCTGCAGGGCTTCTTGCTTTGCTCCTCCAGCAGGACAGCAGCAGCATCTGGGGAAGGAAAGGAATGAGAGAGATGGGAATCAGTAGAGCCATCTCACCCAAAAACCATGCACATGTCACCACCCTTGCATAAGGGCCTGCGGCCCACCAGAATCACATGCAGGACAGCTGACCGGTGAACAATCCTTTCACATGAGAGCCGTGAGCAGCAGCCATGGAAAGCTCACTACAAGACAACTGGTGACTAACATTTTCCTTGTCTGCAGGCTCCTCCCTTGCATCTCACTGGCTTCGGAAGATCTTGTTTTCTTTCTGCTACATGCTTCTTCTCCAGCCACACAACAGAAAAACAAGCATGAGGCCAGAGCAAAGACAGTCTGTAAAGCTCATGGGACAGAGACCGACTCTGGTTCAAACTGATGGCAACAAGGGGGGGGGTTGCGCAGCAGTTCTGGAAGCTGCGCCCCCAGCACCTCATCCTGTGCATCTAGGGGACACCATGGCGAAAGTGGCCTTTAATGACTATTGAGGTTGTGCCCTGGGAATGAGCCTGGAGAGCCAAGGTGAGCCCTGGTAGAGACAACTCCCTCAAATTTCAATGGAAACTGCAGCTGCTAATGCCAGGGCTATATTCAGTCTGGAGACAGGAGTCCTTGCTAGCCAAAAGGAAGGTGACCCCTGTAAATCAAGGTTGGGGTGGGTCACTAGGACAGCAGCACAAGATAGGCCTGGGAACGAACAAATCGGTAAGGCTATTCGGCAGCTTGCCCTGGCAAGACCCCATTGGTCCTTCCACGCTCAGCAACAGTCACCTAAACTTCCACAACCCAAACTGCACTAGGCAAACTTCCTGCCCAGCCCGAGCCCATCAGCACCATGCTGTGCCTGACCCAGCAAGCTAGGTGATTTGTCCGACTGAGGCAGTCTCTAACTCCTGGCCCATGGGAGCCCCAACAAAGGCCGTGCGATTTCCCCAAGTCACAAGGGCATCTCCTGGGCTGCAGCTGCATCTTCCAGCACAATTCCACACCCGCCTCTGCCTCCTCTGTCCAAACCCTCAGTGCCACCCTCCCCCATGGTCGCGGAACCCCCATACAAACAAAGCAGGACCTTTTCTCCCCATCACACATCTCTGCTCCCCCAGCTCCCAATTCAGGTCACAGTAGTCCTCTGGGGTTTCAAGAGCTGCCTAACTCCAGCACTCTCTCTCTACACCCCTCATCCAGCTTGCTGCTGCTCTTTACCTAGGGAGGTGGTGGAGTCTCCTTCCTTGGAGGTTTTTAAGGCCCGGCTTGACAAAGCCCTGGCTGGGATGATTTAGCTGGGAATTGGTCCTGCTTTGAGCAGGGGGTTGGACTAGATGACCTCTTGAGGTCCCTTCCAACTCTGATATTCTATGATTCTATGCCTCCCCTCTCAGCCTCACCACTGTTGGTGCAAGAGGCTTCCCCTTTGCACTTCTACCATCTGGAGCAGACTTCCTGGTTCTTTCCATCTCATTTCAAATCTCACCTGACACCCAGGATTCTTCACAGTGTGATATTGCTGCCTTGGAAATAATTTGGCAGCCATACCACCAAGTCTGGGAGGCGTCCTTGACACACTGGGATGAATGATGATGGATACAGATTACTGATGCTGATCCAGCCTCATTTACTGACCACCTCCCATGACTACCCTCCTGGGAGCAGGTTCAACTCGGCTGGCAGGACCCACCTCGGAACAGGTCATACCAGGCCTTTTTGGCCCTCAGGTGCTGCACCCCATTCAGGTGCTTCTTCCTGTTGTGAAGATTGTCTTGAAAGGATCGGTCACAGTAGTCACAGAAATACCTCTTCCCCATTTATCCTCCGTTGGGCAGAGCAGGGTCAGTGCTGCCTGGAAAACAGCATCAGACAGATGTCAGCGCCGTGCAGTATTCATTCCCAGGGAAACCCTTACAGCTACTGCTCCCAAAGGACAAGGATATGCACCCTCTGGAGGTGTACACTTGAGAGGGATAGAGAGGAGGGGGCGAGACAGGCTAATTTAAACTATTGCCCCTCCCCCCAAGACATGGCAGCTCTGAGTCTAGTGGATAACGCTCAGCACTGCTGCAGGGAGGCTCCCATTCCCTTCCATGGTGTCTTGCTCCCAAAGCAGTGGAAGGCCAGCTAAACACACCTCCTCCCCAGGGCTGTAACCAGGGCAGGGTGAGCAGGGCAACCGCCAAGGTGCAAAGCTGCAGGGGCAGAAAAATAACGAAAAAAACCAGTAGGGGGAGCAAACATGCTTGCTCGCCCCAGGCACTAAAATGCCTCCTCACGGCACTGCTCCTACCCTTAGGGTTCTCTGCTGTGAGGAGTCCAGATCGTCCAAGCAGCAATGCCAGAGAACCTCCGCAAGCTGCCCAGCAGCTCCTGTGTGGTGAAGCGGTTACCCCTGGGAGCTGGGATGATCTCAGGAATTAGCCACCCTGGATGATAAAGTGATGGTACTGCCTAATCCAGGCTGATCTAGCTAGAGTTTAATGCTGCCTTACAACATGCAAGATTAGCCTCTCCCCATCCTTTTCTCCTCCTTCCAGCCCACCAATGTATCCCTCCAAATGATTCCATTCCTAGACCTTCAGAAGTTGAAGCAAGAGGGATTCTCCCTTCCACTGCACCCCCTGTACAGATGTCCTGGCAGCAAATAAGGGTCATATAAAACCCCTAGCCAGCTGGGAGATAATTCCCCTGGCACAGACACTGCACTGAACCACCACACGTTACCTGATGCTGCCCAGCCTGGCACGGGAGAAAGGCTGGTGGAGGGCAGGGGCATGTCAAATGAGTCTCCATAGCACTGAGCACTACAGAGATTTCGTGCTATGGCCCATTGGCAGGATCTAAAAATTATAACAGGAGCTGACTGCTCTAATTTATGCTGGGGCCACGTCAGGCCCCAGAGCAGGCCAAAATCCCGATGGGCAAAGATGGCTTAAACCACCTGTGCCCCATCGCCCGCTGGACTGTGCCTGCTCGAAGCGCAGTACAGAATCTCAGCCAGTAGCAGCTGTATACTCCCTCTCTTGGAACATGATGGACACCTTACAAATACCTAAGATGGACAGAGAGGTAGATAGACTCTGAAAATGCCTACCCAGCTTCAGACACCTTGATGACCAAGTCTCTGAAAAGCATGGCACAGAAATTAGCACAAGAAATAAAGACTTAAAGACAGCCAGGACCAGAGCCCCCAGGAGGTTCTCCAGAGTCAGCAGGAACAATGCCATCAACAGGTGATCCCTTTAGCGCCAATACCCAGCCTTCCCTCAGAGCAGATCCTGCCAAGCCTTCATGTCAGCCAGCCACAGGGACACCTCAGGGGCAAAACAAATCACTGCTACAAAGTCACTCTATCAGCCTCCCAGAGCCTGAGAAAGGAGGAGTCTGTTCCCTTCGCTTCCAGTGCAAGATTCCTCAATGCCTGTGCCAGCCACTGCACAAATACAAGGGCCTGGAGGAATCACACACCAATAAACCCCCACCTTGAGGCACTGAATATAAATGCCTCCTTTTGGATCGCCCTTTGTTCTCTAGGTACATGATGGATGGTAAAATACTTGGATAAGAATAAGCCAGATGGGGTTGGTCTCTCTCTCTCTCAGGTTCTGATTACCCTACTGGGAAACCAACTATGTTATCTAGAACGATGGCTAAGTCTAGCTCTTGCTAGTAAAGTGCTACCATGGCTTGGATGGCCAGGAGTTTCAACCCTGGTGAGCTCTTAAGCTCTGCAGGGGTGAAGCCTGAAGCTCTGCTCTGCAGTCCTGGAAGACACAGCCCATCTTCAGCATTTACCTACCATTTGTCACCTTCTTCTACCTGATGTACTACAAACTTTTGTAACCAACTGTGGAATCTGGCACTAGGCATATCTCAGCAGCCAGACAGCTTTTGGGATCTGTAGGGGAAAGTTCTTACAGCTTTCCACCACATAAAGGGTCACTCAAGGATTTTGGGGTTTTTTGTTTTTTTTTTAAGTTTCTATGTTCAAAGCCCTCTGACATCTGATTCCAGTGGATATGCCAGCAGCTGACATTAACCCAAACTCTAGATTTCAACCACCTGCTTCTGCAGTCTATTTTTACCCCAATTTCCACAAAATCAGATCTCAGATCAGGGGAAATGAGCTTGGTTTCTGCAATGGATCCACACACAAAATATCCATGGAGTTCAGTGTGAATTTCATGTCCAGAAAACATTACAGCATCAGACTCTGAGAAAATTCATTTAAATCTTGACTTTTCTTTATTTGCATTTTTCATCATTCTGGCCCCATAACTGCAGAAATTAATTCCCAAAATAAACAGCAGCAGCAAAGAGTGAGAACTCTTGTAGATTTCAGCAAATGCTACTTTCTACAAACCAGACATCCCTTGTGGTACTGGCTCCTGCATTCTTGTAGCAAGTCAGACTAGGGGGAAAAAAATATCATAAAGCTCTATTAGAGGGTCACCGGATACTCGATAATAATGGGGACGGGGATGGGACACAAAATGTTTTTTTACAAGGAGTAAGAGCAATAAATATTTTCATCTTCTTCATATAATTTCAATTACAACAGTTATTTGTTTAGATTTTAACAATCCTCTGTAGTGCTGCAATCCAGATTCTTCAGCACAGGGCTAGTGCCTGGGAATCAAAGTGAAAATGACTAGAACCAAAAGTGATATTGACTAACCTATTTCTGCTCTCCCTACCGAATGAAGCACAAAATAAACAGCATTATTGGTTAAAAGTACAAATAGATTTTTTTAAAAGAATTCCCTCAGTTTTAATAATCTTGGCTGTTATTAATAACAGGAGTAAAAAATTCTGCTTAATATTTTTTAACCTGGCTTTTCTCCTTTAATGTAATATTTGCTATTGGATCCATGCAAAGTGGACCCCCGAGTCTCTGTGGAGCCACCACACGAACATCAAGGAGCCTGTACAGGTGCAGAGGTCCATCTGCCTTAAGCCCATTTTAAAATAATATTGTTCCAGTTTAAAATCTTTTCAGAGCAACCTTTTAAAAAAGCAATAGCACAATCCAATGAGTGCAGTGGTTGGCGTAACCACATGGGCTGGGTGGTTGAAGAGATCCAAGGTACACTGCATAATCTCACACCCTTCTTCTCTAAGGGGCCTTTCACTGATTTCATTTACAGGTGCATGCAATCCAGGGAGAGGGAAGGAGATGCTGAAGAGAACACGTCTGATTTGTTTTCATCTGGGTGTAACTGATTTTTTTTGTACTGGACTCTGGGCCTCTCTCTCAATTTCCTGCTTCCTCATAATCCAGGCTCAGGGCATTTCAGCCACCTTGGGTAGGATATCTAGGCAGATGTGAAGTTAATTAAAGCCAAGTGTCAAGCTTATGAGACCCAGCTGCCAATTTAAATATGCTCAGATCTCTATAGTATCAAGTGAAACCAGTGGAGTCTGCCAGCATCTCTCCATGCTGAAAAGAGGACAAATTCTGATCTAATTTACACCAGTGTAAATCCAGAATAACTCTCAATGGATTTAGTCAGGAGTCATGCCAGCATAACTGTGATCAAAATCCAGCCAAGTGGGAATAGTTTATAGGCTTATTAGGAAGATTGCCTTAGCAGAAATGATGCTCAGCAGTTACCATTGAAAAACTGCGGCTGAATTTTCAAAGCCACCTAAGAGATAGGTACACCTAATTCCCATTATAATTAATGGGAACTGGGTGTCCAAACCTCTTGGCCAACTTTCCAGCTTTTCGCCATGTCTCCGACCCAGACAGAAACCTCCACTGATCTTAGCAGAAGTTGTGTGCAAGATCAAGGAAAGCAAATGGCTCTGCAGCCAGGACTCCATTTCTGGGTGGCTGACATGACTGAAACACAGAGAAAATGTCAGTTTTTAAGATCCATTTTAAAATTCAATTTAGATACTCATTAAATGGAAACCCTGGAAGAGAGAGGGAGGTTTTAAAGGGAATTTTCCCCTCCTCCTTTTAGTTTGCTTGAATGCAGCCCCAGATACCCCTCCCCCACACGCTTCTAAACCCAGATTTACCTCTGCCCCACTGAGGTTTGCATTGATGGGGGTAATGTGTAACTGCTCCCCTTGTTAAAATGAACCACTTTGATATAAATAAGCAGAAGGCAAATGGGAACTGGAATTCCTCCAATAAAACGTATTCCAAGCAACTTCACCCTCCTCGTGCTATTACTAAAGTCAATGGCAGAACTTCCACTGATTTAAAGTAGAGGCAACACCAGGCCACAAAATTTATGTTTTTCTTGTGCCTTCTACCTTAGAAGTCTCTGCTCTCTAATGATAACTACTCTTACTCTCATGTGTGATCAATAAAAAAAAATAGCTGCACACACACACACACACACACACCAATATATGAAACCTAACATGCCTCCCTTGTGGTCCCTTCTATCCCTAGGATTCTATTTCCAGGAGCAAATGTTCTTTCCTCATGGATTTCTCTTAGCTCTGCTCATTACCCATCACAATCCAGTGTCATTATTTGTGGTGCTGTTTCATGTAGAATTCAAGACTCTTTCTGTAGGTATGAAGATCACCAAGAATGCCTATTGTGCTGTGTAAAACACACACTATGCAGCTGGTCTATATAAACTTGAGCTGAAATTTTCATGATTAGATACTGATCTTGGGTGCAATTTGGGCTGCCCAATTCAAGAAGCTTGGCCCTGATTGTCAGAGATGCTGTACACTCACAGCTTACATCAACATCCAATTGCAGCACTTCCAAAATAGCCTCAAGCCCCCACTGTCTCAAGCTGAGCACATACAAATGGAAGCAGCTAAAATCAGAGGCCACTGTTTGTTTGGCCTCGATGGTTCATTACTCCTCCCCACATCAGAAGTATTTAAGTCATGCTAACATTAGAAAGCCTGGTTTGCGTTAAATGTATTCAGATCCCCACCTTCCTTCTGTGCTTTTACTGGGCCTGATTCCTCAGCGCCTTGCACTTTGTGACGTCACTTACACTAGCATAACATGGGTGTGAAAGAGTCCCAGCCTGACGTGCTCCATTGGAGACGTACTTTACACAAGGTGCCAGGCAAAGGGTGCGTCAGGCCCCTGTTGTGTGTTCACGCTGCCTTAGGGGTCCCTGGGGCGGAGCGCGCGAGCGGTATCAATGGGCCGGGCCGGGCCTGCATCCCCAGAAGAAATAGTTCCTCTGTCCCAGCTCTCCCGAGCCCGGCAGCCCAGGAGCCGCCGCGTTGCCCTAGGCCTGCTGTCCTGACCCTACCCCAGCGCAAAGCCCGGCGCCCCCGTGCGCTGGGACAGGCACAGGGGCCACTCACCTCCCCACGGCCACAGCCCGACTCCCCAACCTGCGCCTCCCTGAGCGCCACCGCACAGCATGCTGGGGCTTGTAGTTTTTTACCGCCACCAGCGAGGATCCGGCGCACGCGTTCGAATGAAGGGACTACATCTCCCAGAGGTCTCATCGCTTAGGGACGATGGTCAGAGGCGAGCGTGGCGCTGTGCATGCCGGGAAATGAAGTCCGCCTCTGCCCCCGAGAGCGAGGTGCTTTCCCCCTGCGGTGGAGCGGCGCGACGCCGCACTCCAAATCCCATGGTGCCTCGCGGCAGGACTCCAAGCCCCAGGGTGCATCGCCGCCACGATAAATTCCTGGTGCAGGCCGCGCCTGTGCTGGCCCGGGCATCGCCAGAGGAGGCCGTCATGCCGCTGCGCTCCCGGCTGTACAGTGTGTTTTTCCGCCGCACCTCCACCTTCGCCCTGACCATCGTGCTGGGGGTCCTCGTCTTCGAACGCGCCTTCGACCAGGGCGCGGACGCGTTCTACGAGCGCCTCAACCACGGGGTGAGGAGCCGCTGAGGGGCCGAGGCGGAGCTCGCGCAGTTCCTAGGCCGGCGTGGCTGAAGGTCAGGGCGGCCTGTGCACTGCGCGAGGCCCCGGCTCGGGCGCGGCCCCGGCTCGGGCGCGGCCCCTTGACAGTCCGTATCCCCAGGCGTGTTCCGCCTGCGGCCAGAGTGGGGCCGCGGAGAGCCGGGCCCCGGGTGACCTTGGCCCGGCCGGTGACGCTCTCCCCCGCTGTACTAGCGGGGCTGGCTGCCGGCTCCAGACCGCCTCCGGGCCCCTGCCTAGAAGGGACCAGCCGCCCGGGTGGGTGCCGGGCCCCTCAGCCCCGCCGATGGGGGGGCGGACAAGGGGCCTATTCTCCATGCTGCGGCTTCCTTACAACATACCTCGCCCCTTCTGCGCTCGCCGCTGCGCCCCGCTGTCCCCCGCCGCTCTGTGCTAGGCCGGGGTGAGGGTACCGCGCCCTGCCGCACCTTCCAGCCCACCTCTGAGCGGTCTCTGCCAAGGTGAACACAGCAGTGGGACTTTACAAAAAGGCTGGGTGAACCTACTTCTCACTTAACACAGGCTGCCTGTCATGGTAGGGAAGCAGTGGGGTTGAGTTCTGCTCACTTTATTCAGCCCTTTATTTTACAGGGCCAGATGGATATGAAGGGCTGAGGATCCAGCAACCATGCTAGTATCATGGCAAATGCATTTTGTAAATGCATAGTAATGCCAGTGCTGAATTGCCTTGTGATAACCACCATGATTATAGAAGTACTGCTATTATGGCACTTATAGGGAGGATTTATGCATGCTCTTGGACTTCTCCAGTTGTCTTGGCCCTAATGGGGGAGACAGTCAAAGAAATTGTAACACAGGAAGCTTAAAACAAGGACTCATATTTCTTGAATGTCTTCAGTTTCATATTTCTGATGTCTAACTCAACAAAAAAGGTGACAGCAACTTTACACACAATGTAGGTCATATAGGATGTGTTGCCAATATTGCAGTGCTGTCCCAAGCAGTCTGCAATGTAAGATGAGATGAGTCAAGTCATCATTGTAGTTAAGTTGCATCCATGGACAGGAAAAGCTTGATAATTAATGCTTAGATACCATGGCAATAAGTGATACACACATTACCTGATCCTCCAGTTATCTGTAACTGTCCCCTTAGCATACCAAGTTGTGATAAAGTATGTATTTTAACTCTAAAAGCACCCAGAGTTTGTGCAAAATACAAAATTACAGCCAAATATAAAGTGTATGATTTGCACATTTCCTTTTCCCTTCCAGGAGTTTGGGGCCAGAGGAAACTTCTAATATCCAACTGGAATTATGTATTTCTTTAGCTACTTTCTTAATTGAGCAATTCAGTTATTACGTGTTAGTGTACTCTTTGTCAGTCTAGGGTTGTATGCTGATTTTCCCCTTTTAAAGAGGCTATGATCCTGTCTAGACCAGGCATTAGAAATGCTATGATACTTTCTGCCCACAAACAGGAATCTTACAAGTATTTATTGTATCAGTTGGTTGTGATGGTTGGGCTAAAGACCTTGTTTTGGGTCCAGCTTGAATCTGTGTTGACTACAGTGGCTTTTCCTCAGTGTGAATGGGGAGCCAGAAGCTGCAACAATTTGGTGTTTCTTAACCTGCAAGGTTACAGAGTAGGGCAGCAGTAGGAACCTATAAAGTTGTATGATCCTAGACTGCCTCCCTATAAAAATATTCTTGAAAGCTACCTACATTCCCTTTCTGCTATTAGCTTACCTAATGCAGATCCTGAGAATGGGGCCCCAAGCTGAGGCATCAGTGCACTGCTCCGGGCTCTTGTGGCACTCACCTGGTATCATACGCTCCTCTGGTGACTGGGTACAGGGAGGTCATAGAACAAAAGAGCAAAGCTACTATAAAAATATTAAGCAAAATGCAGAAAAGGATGTGTGAATAGAAGGAAGAAATGGCAGCAAGTATGCTGAGACTTGAGAGGAAGGGGACATGGTCTCATTCTGCCAGTCCACTGCAAGAGGCAGCTTAATCAAAAAAGATGAGATCCATTATCTTAACTCCATTCAAGAGGAGGAATTGCACTGTAGAAGTTACCCCAGAACCTGTGTTTCAAGTGTGTGCTGTGCCTTCTGGAACAAGTGCTTTGGTATTCCTGGAGTGCACTGGTCTGGCTAGGTAAGGCATTGTGTGGATGTGCCAAAGTGGTCACCCAAACAAGTGCCATTAGGATATGCTGTCAAGGGCAAGACACCAAATGGGACAGCAATGGCAGGAAACTTCAGTGTGTTCCTCACTTGTAGGCATTTCCTTTAGGTGAAAGTAAGAAATTCAACCCAGCATCACTGGGACACATACATAAGACTTCTTGCTTTTGTTTTTTTCAAATGCAGAAACTGTGGAAACACATCAAGCACAAGTATGAGACAGAAGAAAAGTGAAGTGAGAGCTGCAGGAGCCATGCGGGGGTGCCTGTATCCCCTTGTGTAAACTCTTCAATTGCCTGATACCAGTTACCAAGCATGAAAATGGGCTTCTGACTGAAGAAATCTGAGCCAGAGTACATCACCAACTTCATCTGTGGCAGAAACCTTGATGGATTTACTCCTGCTGTGTTAAAACATTCTGTTAAACTAATAAACTCACTAACCCATACCTCTTGTGCTTACATGGTCAGTGAACTTCCCCTGTGCTCCATATGTAAATAAGGGTTTATTGTTAGCCACAGGATGTTGGGCTCTAAATTAATGTGGCATATAAAGCCTTATTTCTGTGGCACTAGTATGGAAAATCATATGCAGTTTGTTTTTGTATAACCTTAAAAAGTGGAAGCACAGGTACAGCTGAAAGCCTTTGTCAATATTTATTGCTTTTGCCTGGTAAATGTTCCAGTTTATAACTGGACCAATGTACAGACAGGAGCAATAGCCTTAAATAGGCAGGCAATAGCTAGCCAAAATCTAACCATAAATGGTCTCTCCAAATATTCTTAACAGCACTTTATTTAAAAAATTCCTCCAGCATTCAAACCCATCTTTCACTTTGCTCTTGGTTATATGCAACACTTTAGTCTCTTTATTTAAACATTGTTTTTTATAGTAATTAGTATATCAAAGCACCCAGTTTTGGTTCTGGGGCTGTATCTTTGTTACATCTCAAACAAACCATCTAGCCTTTGCTTGCTGACAAATGATATGCATTTGTTCAGGGTGGCTGCCTCTGTAGTATTGATTTTAATTAAAATCTTAACTTTCAAATAGCCTTCACTACTCCGTGAGAAGGGCTGCTTTGCTTTCAGACAGCTGGCCTGAGCTGCACTTAAAAACAAAACACCCCACCCTGGGGAAGAAGGGCTAAAATGAAGGGGCTGTAAATAAGATGTATAGCTGGTGTATTCTAATGACATCTGAGCCCTATAAGCTTGAAAAGTGACTAACTCATTTTAAATTTAGTATAGGTCTGGAGCTCTGCATTACCATGCTGGGAGGGCAGTAGTGATCTGTCTTGAGTGTTCTGTTCAGCCTTTTCTGCTTACAGAATGAGTATGCTGAAGTGGTGGTGCAGGTGCCTTATTCTTTTGCTGTTTGATACAGTACATAAGGTGCTAAACAACTAGTGCCTGCCCTGGGAGCATAAAGCTAAATATCATACAGGCATGGGGGAAAGTGGTAAAAAGCAAGCAATGGGAAGGGATATGGCAATACTATAGTGAGATTGTAGCTGTGTCATCCTTGCTTATGTCTATACAGCAGCAGGCAAGACACTTCCCAGAATGGGTAGACTACTGCCTGAGCCTGTAGCAGGGGTGTTGAGTGGGATTGTATGCAAGCAGCTAGCCCAAGCTGGCATGCTTGGTTTTGTGTCAAGATGCTATTCTTAGCCTGCTAGGTGGAGCAGCACTAGTGCCTTTCTGGCTGTAGTGGGAAGCAGCTTTAAGAGTCTCATCCTAACTGATAGCAGTGCCATCAGTTCCCATGCCCCTTTGCTGCCTATTTCCAGAAACCCTCTTCCTTCACAGGCCAGGAATGGAGGAAGATAAAGCATTATCTAACTACCTGGTTCCTTTAAAAGTTATCCAATAGGAATCTGATTTTAGTGCATGGGGATGACTCAAACCAGTTACTACTTGCCTGGCCAGTCCTGTACAAACCAAGCTGGCTGCCAGTCCTACACACCTTACACTTGAACTGTCTTTTTGCTTGTTACATTTCCACTAATAACGTGCAATTGAAGTTTTGCTGATGGATGACTCTGAGGTGGAATGGAACTCGCTACAGCAGTAGCATGAACTGGAGAAAAGCTTTATGGATAGTGAAAACAGCTTAACCACACTGGGTGCCATTTATACTTGGTGGGTAAGGAGGATTTGCCAATATTTTGTTTAAGGAAAGAATGGCAGCTGTAGACTCCTAGCAGCCTTAAATTGCTTTTATAGAGGCACCCTAGGGGGTAGGATTTAGGCCTTGCTGGGCTAATCTCAAACTAACCAAAAAACCCACGTTTGCTTCTAGTGTAAGTTCTACCTGCAGTGCTGATAGCTTTATGCTATGCTGAACTAGGGATGGTGGTTTCAGTAGCCTTGAAGCTAGAGTTACCTAGCAGTGAATACATATTAGAGGGGGAGATGTGGTAGCAAGTCTGGCAAAAAGCAAATTATTAGGCAACGGGATAACAAAGTACAAGGGTTAAGTAGTTTCCCATGACAATGGCTTTTGGGAAAGCACAAAGAGTTAAATTCATTCCTTTTACCCCATGTCCTAGTGGGCTGTTGAATAGTGCAGAAAATTTTATCCTGTGAACATTCAGGGCTTTATCCTATTTGCATAATGGTCACAGCCATTTCCATTCTTTCTGAAAGCAGCCTCAGTGTTATAGCACTAATCACATAGCTGTACAATCTCCTCCCCCTGCGTATAACTTGGCAGTGAAGGATGTGCATACAAAGCTTCATACAAAAGCCTGCCTTCTGCAGTATTTGGAGAAAAGCAACATGTAGTACTGCACACACCGAAACAAGGGTTAGAATGCTGGAAGCTTAGATTTCAGTGCATTTTACGTAGCCGCAATACACCAAAAATAAATTGCTCTTGGCTTTCTTTGGAACAGGTTGATCTACCACAACCCATTTGTCATCTGTTTATGTGGGGAGCTAATGTACTCATTTATTTTCAAATGTAGGATAAGTCTACATGCTGGTGAGCAGAACGCATTTTCAATGTGCAGATATTTAATGACAACTTATTGACATTCATATCACAGACAGCTAGCTCCATCTCCAATATCTGTCTAGGCTCTTGTAAGGTAGCCCTCACCCTGATATCTGAGTACCTTACAAATAGATTAAAGTGACTTCAGGCACAGTCTCATTCTGTAGAAGTGACTTTTTGTATGACAAGATTGTTTCTCGAGACCTCTGTCAGCAGGCAGAGATTGCTATTACCAGCTCATCGCGTTCCCCAGGACAGGTATGATCTGAGCTGTTCTGCTTAGTGAGTGGTGACAAGTCGCTATTGGGAAAGCAACTCTATGGACTGTGACTGCAGAGGCAAATCACTGCATGCCTTCCCCTCACCTAATTTGCATATTGCAATCATCTTGCTTTAGATGCCTTGATAGTGAAGGCCTTTCAAAGGGGCTTTGGGCCATGCATATCCACTGCACACCTCACTTCATTAAACAAGCTCCTAACTGCAGGCATATGATAGTTCACTGCTAATGGATACAGACAGATTAAATTAGATAGGGTTCATTGACGGAAACTGCATAAAACACCAAGCCGAAAGATTCAAATTCTTTATCTGCATGTTTTTATACACGTTTCTCGCTCGAGGGAGAGGAATTTAAAGTACATCACCATACAGCTGAACTCCTAGGGCTTTGTCAGCAACAGGACTGGTCTGTTGTGCATTTGTTTCTATACATCCCATGAGTCTACTGCAGGATAAGGCACCGTGTGTGGAGTGGGCAGCTGTAGCTAATGGCGCAGGCGAAGCTCACTGTCAGTTGTAGCGCTCATTCTAAGTGCTCTTAGCTGTGCTGATAGTTGTGGGGGCGGGGGGATGTTTCTTATATGAAAATAAAGTTCTCATAGAATCATTACAAAATAGTTTAAAAAAAAAAACTAATGGCTGTTGCAGCCTGTCCTATGCATCTGAGAGACCTGCTGCTGCATTAGCTGTATTGACAACTAGCACAGCAGCAAGCCTGCCTGATGGGCAGTTCCTATTCATAAATGGAAAGCTCTCCCCAGGGTGGGGTGATCCCAGTTAAAATTGAAGGGCTGGGTATTGCACCATAACCTTAAGATCAGGAGGCCCTCAGAAGTGAAGGCCTGAATCCAATGCAATGCCTTGGGCTAAGAGTCCCTCAGGAAGGGATCATGCCTTTGTTCCGTTTCCTGTCAGCCATGACGCGGCGGTTATGATTAGCTCTTGCCCCTTTGTTGGCTTCCTTCTTCCTTCGGTCTTGGACTGTATCCCGGCTTTGTCCATGCCCCTTGGCGTTCCCTACGACAGCTGAGGTGTTGTCATGCTTGTACCTAAAGTATAGATAAAAATGGGAATCACCACAAGTTCTGCACAAGGCACACTGAGGATCACACATCTAATTTCTCTTTCTAAGACAAAAGAGCCTGAGAAAAAATCAGATGTGGAGAGAGCACACCCGAGGGGAGTCCATCCACCCAGCCATCTCCCCTGATGAGTGAGCTGTGCAGCACTTCTATAGTATCCGAATATTACCCATCAGCCATGTGATGCCAGCTCCCTCTTCCTGCTTTTAGCATGCCAGCAGCCAGCCAGATGTTGCACTGAAGCCTTGTACTGTCCAGGCATCCCCTGTGGTAGTTACTGAGGATCTGGGAAGCTCCTGTACCCCCAAATCTTACTAATCTTATGCAGGTTCCTGCTCTCCCTGCCCCCATATAACTGCAGCAGTAGCATTGCTGTGCCAGTGAAGGGACTTGCCAGGCATCCCTGCCACTTGGTGTAGCTGCACTCTAGGCAGCGAAGTGGAAGCTGAGTAAGATGTTGGAAAAGGTGACACTCCCAACAACTCTCGAAAGGTGGACTGTCATTTCTGAAAGCCAACCTGAGGCTGTGTGTAGACTGCGCATCTTACAACGGTGCAGCTCTGCCGTTACAGTACTGCCATTGTAAGATATGTAGTGTAGCCGCTCTCCTGACGACCAAACAAAAGCACCCCCAACGACGGGCGGTAGCTTCGTCATCAGGAGAGCGTCTCCCGCCAACAAAGCACTGTCCCCACTGGCACTTTTTGTCGTTAAAACTTTTTTTATTTGGGGTTTGTTTGTTTTTTTCACACTCCTGAGTGACAAAAGTTTTAATGATGAAAGTGCAGTGTAGCCACAGCCTAAGACCTGGAGCTTCTAGTCAACTCAAGATGCAACATACCATTGTGGCTGGAGCCCTGAGGAGACAGGAATATTCCGACCAGGTGCAACAGCATGACAGTCACCAAGGAGGAAATCCTGGCCCACTAAAGTCAGGGAGTGTTTTGCCACTGACTTCAATGGAGCCATGATTCACCCCTGGAGTAGGATTCCATCTTACCCTTTCCTTGCAAGGTAAGTCATCCGTCTGGCTTCAGCTCTCTCCCTCAGCACTGCTGGGTCCTGCACAAAATGGTCCTGCTGGGGGATGGAAATAAAGTCTTTAATCTCATTACCGTCTTATCAGCATTCAGCGTGACTTGGGGAGCTACAGAAGCCTGACTTCTTGTGGCTCCCTGGTGTGGGGAGAGTCCCCCACATCCCTCAGCTGAAGTTATTCATTACAGCCAAGTAGTCCCCCAGGATCAGTGACAGGGAGCAGCTGATGTGAGATGCCAAATTGATCAAAGTGAAAAGCATCCGAAAATTTGAATTGCAAATGGTTTCACTGAGATTTTAGGGATTTTTTCCCCCCATCACAGCCAAATGGTCAATTTCCATTAAATCCATGACAACCATGAAAATAATACAGCTTTAATGATCCTCCCCTCCCCCTCATGCACTCCGCTGGCATCATATCCTCTCTTCCAGAGATACATGCACACCTCTCCAAGGAATAAGAGTCTTGTGACATGCCTAGGTTGGGAGGCTGTGAGCAATTGTACTTGGGGGACACTTCACTGTCCAACTTGCTGCAGCCTGCCACTCTGAAAAGCAGAGCTGCCTCAATGCTATGTGAACAGATTCATGCTTTGGAAAAGGAAACCCTTTCCACACTGTTACTGGTCAGGGCTTCAACCAGCGGCGTATTATCACCTAGACCGGCAAATTTGCAGGGGCGGCAAATTTATAATAGCATCATTTTTGTAATCGCGGCATCAGTGATGCCGTGATTCTACCAATCATAGCGCATATTGAAACCACCAATGACAGCGCGACACCATTTAGTAAACATACTCGCGAGAATCCTAAACTGCACTGGACCCCCGCTTGAACGCGGGGTTTTGGATCCACGCGCGGTCCTGCGCTATAAGCGAAATCGCGCTATACAGACGCACGTTCAAGCGAGGGTCCACTGTACTTGTAATTTTATTTATAATAAAACTTGTAAATGTTCAATTATTTTAATGATATTTACATTCATTTTAGTTCAAATGAATTTGTAAAAAAACTAAAACAAGTTCATATGGGGCTGGGGGCGGCAAAATCATTAATCTGCTACTGGCTTCAACAGGTGAAATAGACAGGGCACACAATATAATTTGGCATAATGCTTAATTTGTAGGCTGATGGGAATTGGCTAGTAACCTTTGTTGTTTCCTTTTCAGGCTCTTCCACTTCCTCCTCTTCCTCCTCCTCCTCCTCTTGTCCTTTGTGTCTCAGGACTTGAGGGATGGTAAATGGCCTGGGAAATGGAGAGACAAAGGTGAAAGATTCAGTACTATTTCATCTGGGCAGTTCTGATACTAGAATCTTTTAAAGACAATTCTGAATTACAGAAGGGCAGGTCTTTCAAGAAGTGAAATCCACAGCTTTTATGGACCTGCCTAATTTGTAAAGCAAGTGGACTGAATTAGCAAATCTAGAGAGAAGGAGAGCAGCCAATGACAAATTTGCCATGTTCCACTGACTTCCAGGAGATCTGCAATTGGTGAAAATTGACTAATAGGGAAAAGTGTCTTAGTGGAACATGTATCCTTGATTTCATATTTAATACTTCACCACCTGTACATTTGGTCTAGCTGTAGGACCATATACATTGGGGGTCAAGTGCAGCCCTATTGTAATCCCACAGAGGTCAATGGAGATCTCCCCCAGACCCACTCGAGGATAGGGATGCCACCTCTGATGTACAAAAAATCCAGACATCCAGGATGATCCTGAGCCCATAAAACTGGCCAGCCGGCCGTGTGTAATGAGCTCCCTTACAGATTTCCTGGGACAGCTACCTCAGAAAGGGATGATCCCTGGAAAACCTGGACAGACAGCAACACTACCCCAGGATGAATTTGGGGCTGTGTATTCAGTTTAATTCTCCCTTTTTATATATGCACATCTTCCATTCCCTGTGGAATGTACTTTTCTATCAAATCTAACTTAAAAAGGGACAGTTTAAAACACTTACTATCCAGTGCCACCTTGAGGCAGGGATAGGATGGCATTTCATGCACTGGGTGAATTGCAAGGGGGAGGAGAAAGGCAGAAAAGACTTGAGACATGCAAGGGACAACAGAGCTGCACAAAAGAAAACACGCCTTCCTTTAGGTTTCAGAGTAGCAGCCGTGTTAGTCTGTATCCGCAAAAAGAAGAACAGGAGGACTTGTGGCACCTTAGAGACTAACAAATTTATTAGAGCATAAGCTTTCATGGACTACAGCCCACTTCATCCGTGCATCCGAAGAAGTGGGCTGT